CCGTCCCCGAGCTTGGCCGCGGAGAGGGCCGCACGTACCTGGACGTCTGGGCGCCTCAGACGCGCGCGCTGCCGCCCGGCCTCGGCTTTCCAGCCACCGAGACCTGGAGAGGCCGCACCGAGGTCGCCGCCAGCTCCGCAGGGAATGGCTTGTGGGAGGTGCCGCCCCGCCCCTTGTCCCCTCCCCCACTCCGGACTCGCCCGACACCTCCTGACGACTCGGCCGGCCTGGGCCTGCTTCCTAGAACAGCTTCTAGTGGGGTGAGGACACACCCCCAGAGCAGAGGAAATGCGTGTGCCCCGGCCTCCAGGACTTGTGCCCTGGGCCCCTGTCTGCGCGCTTCCCTGGGCCCCGCCCTGCCGCGCCCTGGTGGGGTGGGAGAGTCGTCGGCCTGGGCCAGGGGACTCCCCGACCGCGCTCTGAGCCTGGAGAGACCGGTGCCCACGTGCGCAGCCGGACGCGCACCTTCTTTCCCGTGTGAGAGGTCACTGTCCCGAGTGTGTAAGCCAAGGGCCCCAAACCGCTGTCATTCTAAACCCACTTGACCCAGCCACGCACACTCGTAAGCACGTGCAGATGCCCAGACACACATGGCACGCAGCCAGTGACAGAAACCTCACGTTACCGACGGCGAACCGAAGATCTTAGGTTTAAACCCCAAATCTTTTAAGCCTAAAATGAGGACTATATTGTTGGCATCGATAGAGATTTTTCTATGAGGTGGTTATTTGTATCTTTCCAATCCCTGTGATTTAAAAAAAAAAAAAAAGGGCAAAAGAGGATTTAAAGTATTTTAAGTCATCAAGAGAAAAAAAGTGAGCGCACTTCACGTGTGCACTTCAAAGTCCGTCCAAAGTCCAGAACAAATTCATGAAGCCTGATTTTGGCCTTCAATTCTGGGAGCTAAATATCCTAGAAAGGTTTTTTTGGCAAATAATGAAAACTTATTTATCAACAAGTTATTGCTCTTCCTTTTTCTTACTAAGAGAATGAGATGGCCACAAATATGGAAACTACACAAAACACTTTCAGAATGTTAGTTCATTTTGTTAGTTTATTGTTGCTGTTGCTTTACTAGAAATCAGTATTAAAATTTTTACCAGTATATGGGGGCCAGCAAGTGGCATGGTGGCTAAGGTGCTGGAATACCCACGTGGATGACCTGGGTTCTAGTTCTGGACCTGGCGGCTTGCTCTCTTTCTTTCTCTCTCTGTTATTCTCTGGCAAAACTCATGTTATAAAATAATAAATAAATAACTTAAAAAAAATTTTTTTTTTAATTTTTACCAGTATTGACCCAGCCTTTTTGGTGCTGTCTGCAGTTACCCAACAGTGCTGGAAGCCACATGGCTCACCACATGGCTGAGGGACAGTTAAGTCCTGGCATTTCCTCCCCCAAACTTGGCCTTGTGGACCTAAAACTTAGGGTGAGTAACCAAGATCCTGACAAGTCAAAGGACTAGAGGAAGAGGACCACCTGCAACCAGACCCTAATAAGGGTGACGTTCCCTTCTGTCACCCACTTGTGTACTACATCATATACTAAATAAATCATATATGAATAAAACCATATATTTTACTCATATATGGTTTATTTATAGTGTTTATATATAATGTTTTCCGAGGATGAAATGTGCTATATACTAATAAACAGCCAGGAAAATGAGTAGCAGTGTATTTTATACTATTCACACCATCAGACAAAACACTGTACCAATCTTTTCTAATTTACCAGAGCATGGAGGCCAGCAGGTGGCATAGTGGTTGGGGTACTGAATTCCCACATGGCCGACTTTGGTTCAAGTCTCGGACCTGGCAGCTTGCTTTCTCATTCTCTCTTTCTCTCTCTCTCTCCCTCTTTCTCTCTGGTCAAACTGAAAAATAATAACAAATAAAATTAAATGAAACAATTGTTTTTAAAAATTTTACCAGAATGTGTCTGCACTCATCAAAATGAGAAAGAGAGGGCGAAAGCATCCCCAATGGGGCATAGTCATGCCACAGTGACTTCTCTTCCATTTCTGCATCCTGCCAGGAATTTGAGCTTACAGACCAGTGTACTCAGTGTTTTTCAAGCACCTGGGGCTAGGATTCTAACTATGCAGTCAGCCATGAGGGATTAGTCTCCTTAACCACCAGGCCACTGGGTCAGCCCTACAAATCATTTTGTTTTGATTACCTCAAATTTGTTTTAAAAATTCCAATGAGGCTGAGCCTCTGTGGCACCATTGGTAGCATACCAGATGCAGAGCTGGAAACCACATCCTGACTGCTGTTCAAATCCTTAGCTGGGAGGCCTGAAACAAGCTGGGTGTCTGCACGTAAGCCAAGGATCCTGGCAGGCTAGAGGACTGGAGGAGAGTGGTTGCAGTATGACCAGGCCTTGCAAAGGTCTTCTATCTCTCTTTCATGCATGTTCACAACACTGTATCATGATTCAAAAACAAAACAAACAAGGTCCAGCAGCAGTGGTACTCAAAGATACTGGAGCAATATGGAAAGGACTCCTGAGGTCTCTGGGATCACCAAGATCCTGGATGGCTGAGGCTAGGGGTGGTCATAGACTGAGGACCCTTTGGAGTAACTATCTCTCCTTACACTCCCCCCCAATTCTTTCTGTCATGGAAGAAATAAATGGACTTTAAAAATTTTAAGATTGGGGGCTAGCAGGTGGTGTGGTAGTTAAGTACTGGATTCCATATGGCTGACCATGTTTTGAGTCCTGGAACTGATGGCTTGAAAATCACACCAGAGGGACCACCAGTTAGTGTAATGGCTGTGTCGCTGGATTCCCATGTAGTTGACCATGGTTTGAGTCCCAGATGCAGTGCCTTAAACTCACGTCGGGTACGTTTGTGTGCATGCCCAAGATCCCAAGAGGAGAATGGAGGAGAAGGGATTGCGGCATGGCCATGCCCCCGGGGGGTGACTTCTCACTTTCTGTCTCTTTGTCTCTGTCTCCTCGGCAAGTGTTCTTTTTTTTTTGGGCGGCCCCACCTCCCTAAAAAAAAAAAAAAAAAAAAAAAAAAAAAAAAAAAAAAACTCAGAAAAAAATCACACTGGATGTGTGTGTGTCCATGCCCAAAATCTCATGAGACTGGAGGAGGGGGATTGCAATGTGGCCATCCCACCTGTGGGGGGGGGTGACTCCTTACTTTTTGTCTCACTATGTGTCTCTGGCCAAGCACACATGTCCTATGGCAAAAAACCTTTAAAAAAAAAATTGAACACATTAGAGAAATGAATTAGTAAATGGTAGATGCCAGTTAGGATGTTTCAATAAAACTAATTTTTTTTTTATTTAAAAACAAAAAAACGCAAAGTCCATAAAAGTGAACATTATCAAATTACCACCATCGAGAAGTACCCACTGTGAAGACTTTGTTAGACAGTCTCCTGAAAGTCTTTGTGCACATTTATGTGTTGAAATATATCTAGTCTTTTCTGATGTTAAAGAACCCATTAAATGCCACTAAGACCCAAAAAACGTATTTAAAAGTAGTAATGCCAGAAATTAATACTTGTCACATTTTTCTCACTGCTTCAAGCACAGCTTCAGAACTACCAAAGTACTGGCAAAGTGATCAAATGATTAACATACCCAAAAGTACTTTGTAAAGCGTGGGCTGGTAGGCAAAGCATTTACTGTTCTCATTCACAGCAAGGAATCCACGCTGGTTGGCCCTGGTATCCCCATCTCAAGGCATTCAGCAGATCTTGGTTGAATGTCTATCATCCATGCAGAACTGAGCTAATTGCTTTGGAGGAGATAAATAAGCAACTAGAGGCTTTGGCTGCCTTCCATGAATTTACTGTCTGGTTGCAGAGGCAAAAAGAGGTGAATATTTAAACTCCAATTGCAGTTCATTGAATTAATTCAACAAATACATCTTGGGAAATTATTGTGTGCCAGATTCTAGAGATACAGCAATGTACATTGCCGTGGTCCCTGCCTTCGTGGACCTTGTATTTCGGTGAGTAAGGCAATGTATAAAGTCAGACAGTGGTAAATGCTATGCAGAAAAAGAAAGCAGGCTAAAGGGAGTGACAGGATGCTATTTTTAGATGGGCTAATCAGGGAAGGCTGCCCTGAGGAAGTGATATTAAAGCAGACTTAAGTGACAAAGTGGGCCATGACCATCTAAGGAATGATCCTTTAGACAGAAGGAATAGTAGGTATGAGGGCTTTGTGTGAATGATGA